TAAACAAAAAAATTACTAATTAGTAATTCAATTGATAACTTCACTTAAATAAAACAGAAAATTATCTTTAAATTTTATATATAACCTGTTATGTAAAAAATAAAAAACCATGGAGTTTTTATATTTATATATGCATGTTACATACATGATTCAATAATTAAAGGTTTGCTCATTAGTGACATTAGAGTTTTGACACTCCCTTAGCTCCCTTACAAAAGCTTTGCACACACACACGAACCCACACACAGTGCCTTGCTAAGGGAGCCGATTTTGTCAAGAGGGAGCGAGAAAACTGTTTTTTGAGCCAACCTTTTATTATTAAATCATGTGTTACATATACTTTTGCTTAATTTTTAACAGGACTGTGGGCGAACAAGTACGAATTACCGCTTTACAGCTCTATTCTGCACGTTATCGAAGATTTTGTAACCGGAAAATTTTATTACCAAAAAATTCTTGTCACCGCGATTCTAGGTTCGTTCAACAATTCAACTATGAAGAATTGTGCAGATTCTGGCATTGCATATTTCACGGGGCAATACTTTGTTACCAGCTTATAAGATGGTAACAAAATTTACCGGTTACAAGAGTATAGAGAATGCGAAAAGGGTTTAAAAATTGGCAGGAACTTTATTTACCGGTTACTAACTTTTTGTTACTAGCGCAGAATAGACCTGAAAAATACTATAAATTAATTGTTTTATTTAAATAAGGTATTCAATTGTATTACTAATTAGTAATCTTTTTGTAAATTTTTTTTAAAAAAAAAATTTGGTATTGTTCCTTTTGAGTGTTTTTTTCCAATTTTTATATACGGAGTATACAAATATGCATATTATACGAAAGGGGGTTTAATCGCCTTAACAACGATGCCAATTTTTTTATCGGTGAGTAATTTTTTTGTTTAAAATATTTTTTGATAAAAAAAGTTATTTTTTTCCTTTTAGGTGTTTTTCCTGAAATTTTTATTCACGAAGTATACAAATATACATATTAGGAGAAAGGGGGTTTAATTGCTTTTACAACGATACGAATTTTTTAAAGATCAGTTAAAAATTTTCTGAAATATTAAGTTTTTAATTTTTCGAAGATCTGACCTTTGAGCCGTTATAGCGCCTGTAATATAAGTTTTCACAAAAAAATTTATGTACCATATAAATAAGAGCAAAAGGCGGAACACGTCCGTATTTTTACTTTTTTTGCTTTTTACATGTAAAAATTAAAAATTGTTTTTTCTCAAAGGTTCAATTTCGAACTTCGAATGCCCATATCTCGATTTCGGAGGCTAACTTCGAAAAACGGAGAAATTACTTTTTCACATTGTATGTATGCGTTTTATATCTCTCGTGGCTGTGCTCTCCAATGAACATTTCTTACTCCGTAGGGGACCTTGTTTACAATTTTTATATTGAGTATAAGACTGTTAAACACAAAAAAAACTAGAGTGCGCATATATCAGGTTTGATAGCTGTTGACCATACGAACAATGCCTCATACTCAGATACACTAGATAAATTTGTGTTCTCGAGAAAAAAGTTTGCGTGGCCAAACTTTTTTTTCTAAATTTTGAAAAGTTATCGTTTCTTGGCCTCTAATTGTTGAAAATGGCATACAAAGCAAATATAGGCCAAAAAAATGATGAATTTTCAAAATTTTAAGAGAAAAAAACTTGGCCGCTTTACTCAGATTTTTGGATAATGGAAATTTTTTTCCATTCTTAATTTCTTCAACATTTGCTCCAAAATTTCCTTTTTTTGAATTATGGCAGTCTTTTAGCGAATAAGCGATATATACATACATATGCACGATATATGCTGCATTGACGCTATAGTCCTCTAATAACGAAATTTTTGTCAATAAATGATTTTTTTTTTTCTGAGGTACACCTTAAAGTTCTTCGATAGATGATCTCTTTCCTTTGGCTGTTTACCCAATTTTTTTTAAATGATTCCGCACCATGTTTTGGGCAAAAATCTTAAATAATACTTTTTGAACTTCTTGAGGCCTTTACATTCCAAACAGGTAATGTAATATATGAACCAAAGGCCCGAAAATAGCCCTGTACTCAATCCAATACAAAATTGCTAGGCTATTCTAAAGAAACATGTGAACAGTAAAGATTCCAGTAGTAAGACGTAAACGGTTAAATATTTCCAATTTCTATTAAGTTGATGCCAGAAAGGATACCTGTTGATTTAATGCCCTTGGGGGTATAATAAATATAGATTAAATATTTCGTTTGTGCTGTACATTATTTCACTATCTTCAACATTTTTTTTTGTAAATTAATAGTTCATTTCCACCAAGTCTTAACTGCAGTTTATGCCTATTGGAACAAGGAGATTACAACTCGAAGGGGTGATTCCTCCTACTAAGTACAAGCAAAAGTAAGGAGAAAAGGAAACACTAAGAAATAAACCTTGCCGCTCACCTCATGTTGAAATTTTTGTAACTTATCTGAGCTCTTAACTGCAGTTAAGCTGGAAATAGGCTATAACACTTTAATATGAATTAAGTTTTGTGTTACCCATACGACACGCTACTCAAATATTTTGTAGCCGTTAACAATGTTCTTGTATCAGTTTTTGTTGCCTCACTTGTTTAATTTTTCTGTTAAAAAATGTTCGGTAACAAACAGAATAGCTCTGATTATATTCCTGAGCGTTAGGTAAGACGTTTCGACAAAATTTGGATGACCTTGATCTCGAAAACAAAATCGACTTCAACTTGATGATGTGTGTGTGTTTTTGAGATAAATACTGGTGAAGTTTTGACAATGGAAAAATGGCCAATTTCAAAAATTAAAGAGAAAAAGGAATTGGGACTTTGCTTCCTGAAAGATAAAACTGAATTTTAATGAAAATTCAATTCCCTTTTGGTTGGTGGTGTTTCCGACAGGGTAGGAGTATTATGTGATGTATTGTGGAACGATTTTCCGTCTTCCCTTGTTATTAACAAGTGTGAGCAGACTGTGTTTACAAACAAAATAAGCAAAATTTAAAAAAAAATAATTGGAGGTTATTTTTAAGTTTTCAGAAGTTACGATTTTTTACTAGGAAGTGATCCGATACTTTTTAGTGTCATTTTCTCGCTCTGAGCGAATTTTTATTTTTTTACAGTTTTAGTAGTTTTAGTGGAAGGGATACGGTATTGGGCCTTATATATATCTCGGTCCGTTATATCGATTTTTCACTACATAAATACATACATACATATGTACGTTAAAGTGGTCCGAAAATGTATGTAAAACAAGTAAGAAAGTCTAAGTTCGGACGAAGCCGAACATTAAATACCCGGTGCAAGTATTAAATATATGTTTTTCACCTTTCCGAAAGCTACCGCTACATGGTAAGCCGGGGTGTATCAATTTTGAGTAAATTAGCGTCCTTAAATTTCGAAATATTGAAGTTTCAAGCATTTCTTAAATTGTCCGTTATATGAAAAGCGGCCGTAATTTTAGTCCGATTTCAATAATTTTCAGCGTTTTGCTTCTATGTGGCAAGTACAATAACCACACCGAGTTTGGTACAAACTGGTAGAACGGTTACCGGGATATATATATATATGATCATAAGTGGGCGGCCACGCCCGTTTTCCAAAATTTTATCATAAACGTATTTCTTGGTAAAGAATTGTTGCAAGCATCAATTTTGAATACACTAGCTTCAATATATACCGATTTATAAAAGATTTCGTATTTCTCTAAATTACCGCTATATGGGATGTGGGCGTGGTTATTGTCCGATTTTAAAAATTGTCGGCCATTTCGTAGGTTATGCCAACAACTGTGCCAGGTTTGGAAGAAATTGGTGCAGCGGTTGTCAAGATATACACATGTAACCATAAGTGGGCGTGGCTACGCCCATTTGCCAAAATTTTAAAATATTCTTATTTTTCGTCTAAAACTCATTGTAAATATCAATTTTGAGTGAATATTCTTCAGTAGCTACTAAAATATCGCAGTTTTCGTATTTCTGAAAATTACCGTTATATGGGAGGTAGGCGTGGTTGTTGTCCGATTTTGCCCATTTTCAATACCTACGCCAGAAAGAAGTGCACGTACCAAGTTTCGTTAAGATACCTCAATTTTTACTCGAGTTTACAGACGGACGGACGGACAGACAGTCACCGCTTAATCGATTTCTCTTTTCATTCTGATCATTTATGTATACATTTGTCTATATCTATCTCGATTCGTTTTGCCTGTTACAAACAACCGTTATGTGAACAAAGTTATAATACCCTCGTGCACAAGTGCGCTCGGGTATAAAAATAAGGTCGGATTTTTAATGCCGCCACGCCCGTTATATACCGAAAAAAATATACCCACATTTTTTTAATTTGAAATAAAAAAATATTTAGGTAGTGCTCAAAGCGCTCAAAGTTTTCCATGTATTTTATATGGAGAAAAATCATCTTTTCGTAGGAATAGTGTAGAATCATTGAAAATCAATATTTTTCGATCAATATTTATCTTCGGGAGATTCCCAGTATCTAATAATTCTTAATTGTTTCTTTAACAATTTTTTCATGGTAACTATATTTTATAGGTCCTCCAAAGCGATTAGAAAATGCAATGGGGGGACCAATAAAAAATCTTTAATCATAAAAAATGGTTAAATAAACAATAGGATATTAATACTGGAAGTCTCCTGAAGAGAAACACAGTTTTCCGGTCAAAAATATTGATTTTCAAGAGTTTTATACCATTTGTACGAAAAATTGTTTTGTCTCCATATAAAATACATGAAAAACTTTGAACGCTTTGAGCACTCCCTAAATATTTTTTAATTTCAAAATAAAAAATAGGGGTATATTTTTTCGATATAGATTAATCCTAGGGTGTGGCGGCATTAAAACTCCGACTTTATTTTTTTGGACCACTCTAATGAACACATGTATACGCAGTTTTGATATCTTGTACCAAAATTGTTGCTCGATAAAAATAATGCTTGGTTGATTTGAATTTAATAATAATAAAAACTCATCGACTATTTTAGGTAAAGCGCCTCCGTCAACGTGTCGAAGAATTGAAACGTGAATTAGCCGGCGCTGAGGACGAATTAGACTCGGCTGTGAATCAAGTACGTCGCTTACAACGCACCAACGACGAATTGGTTGGTCAAACTGAAGGGCTGCAAGTGCAAATACAACATTTACAAACAAGGTTAGTCGCATTTCCTCAAACTTGAAATTCACCATATTCACTCTGAAGTCGTAATTCTGGCACTTTTGTTATTTACTGTGAATTAACAATGATCAAATCTGTGACATTTTCTATTAACCTTTGGGATTGCTGCTTCTTCTAAATCGAAACGCTCACTAACTACTCACTCATTTAACAAACATTCATATTCATACATGTAAATATAAATGTAAGGCGTGCACCTAGTCCTCCGATGCGCACTGTCGGCGGTGTGCAATTGCGCAACAAGATCGCTGTAGAAATTCCCAGCGAATGCTTGCCCAACATAAATGATTTACGTCAGATTTTCGATGATCAACCAGCTGGTAGTCGTCATAGTCATAATGCGGGTAGTAGTTTGCCAAATGGAGGAGGTGGCGGCGTCGAAGCGGGCATTCCGAAACGTTCAAGTCACACTGAACGTACTTTGATGCAACAAACAAGCACTTTTTTCGATGCTAAACCATCACACTTGGAAGAGAATATATTTGAATCCAAGTCGCGAAATCTCGAATTTGAGCGTGCCAAACAAAAATTTGATAATCCATCGCATCTACAGCACCAACATCATCACCACCAGCGCGAGCAACGTGAACGATCATCGGGTAGATTTGCTGGGGCTCCAACTGGCCAACAACAACAACAACTACTACAACAGCAGCCGATTGGCGGTAATCGCTCCAATCTGGCATTGCCGCTAAAAACCACCAACAGCTCTGGCATGAGCTTGGGCGGTGGTGGAGGTGGAGGTGGTAATGGCAGTGCGAGTTTGAATTCGAATTCCAATGCGACTTCGAATTCAAATCCTAATATAACTAAAGATGAGATAAATCGCCAATTATTTAATGATGATCATTCGCATTCTTCGACGTCTGGTGGTGGCAGTGTTGGTGTAGCAGGTGTAGTTGGCATTTGTGGCACTGCTAGTGCCACTAACACTGGCCAATATACTAGAAAAGATGCTTGTGGTGGTACTGGAGGTAGTGTTGGTGGTAGTTATGCAAGAAACAGTATTAATTTAGATGGACTCAAGGTGTCCGACGACGAGGTAAGCAATGAAAAAGTGGAAAATTCGCAAATTTTTCTTAATTTCTGATTGCATTTGAATGAGAATTTTACTAATGCCTCAATATTTTGCCAATTTTCGATTTTTTTTTTTGTGATAACACTAATGATGTTTATTAACAAACTTTAGTTACAACTCTTTCTGTTTATGTGTATATATGTACGTAAGTATAGTTTAAGTTTATTTTCATAGCAAAAATACTCATTATATTCAAATAGCAGTAAATTAGGCGTGCATGTATTCAAATTCGTTTTTAATGCTTACAGTTTAAGGAATATGTATTCGTAAATGTTTTATTTTTAATTATATTTATTATTTGTTTATTTCCACAACAGCTAACTAAAAAGTTTTCATTTACTATTTACTAATTATACAAAACGCTTGATTTATAAAATAGAGTATACAAGCATTTATAGACACATCACTACATAAATTTCAATTTAATTTCACAGACACCGTAATTACGGTTCAACGAGTTTATTGCTGGACGATGAAACTGAAGGCAACAGTGACGAGGGCATTTAAATCGTCAATAATTTGATCTGATCTTAAATACTTATTTTACAATACGTATATTATACAAATACATACATATATGTATTTTTTAGGTAATAAGAAAAAAGTATTCCAATCTCGACTATATACATACATACATACAATATATGCATACATATCTGTGTTCGTATGGAAAAGTAGCTTATGTTGAAAGGCTGGCTTTAGTATAATGCGGCATTCCCTTTATTGTTTAAACGACAAAGAATTTTTTGATGAGACTTAATAAGAATATTGACTTGCTAGTATCGGAGCTATTTCTTGCACGTTTATTTGCCAAAAGTTCTCAACGGCTCACCGCCAGTGAGTAATTCGCAATCGTATGCTGCGAATGCCGATTTATACTAAAGCCAGCCTTTCGACATAAGCTACTTTTCCATACGAACACAGATATGTATACCTAAATATACATTTAGCTTTAAGATATACTGCATACATACTTACTGTTTCATTATTTAATCGAATATATGCAACGAGCTAGCCATATACATACCTACATAAATACCATGGATCATATTTTTCAAAAAAGCATTCCAATGACACGTCTGGCTTCCATGCTTTAGCCCACATTAATGATAATCAGGGACGTGAACCGGTTTGAAACCGTCCGGGTCTTGAACCGGATTAACTGCTTTTTTCTACCAATTAACTGAACTGTTAACCGAACCATTATTAATTGATTTTTATTTGGTATAATAATTATTATAGTTTTATTTTTCCACTTAAAAAATTATTATCTATAAAATTTAAAAGGCCATACAGCGGTAAACTGCAAATATCTCAAAAAGTTATCGATAGAAAAAAAAATTATGTCGATTTTCGGAATCACCGAGCAATTCTCTATAGGCATTGGATAGTGGCGTCCATAGAACATTTTTGCTGAAAACCAGCGTCATTACTCTTAAGTGAAGAAATGAATCTGAAAAACTCGAGAACAACAGTACTGATATTATTGAAATTTTGGGTATCCCCTCAAAGGATGATAATAGAGGAAAAATAACTTCGATATATTTTCACCACATACACATTCTAATGTGAGAAATTCAGTTTGTATGGGAGGTGCCACGCCCCCCTTTTCAATAACTCCCATTTTTCCATGAGTTTGGCGTTGATATTATATATCTCAATACTAAGTTGCAGCACTCTACGATGAATACTACCAGAGATATGTTGTGTGAAAACTTTAGGTTGTATGAGAGGTGTCCTTGATATATCGAAATTATTCTTCTTCTATTAAATATATCAGTATAGATGGCAAATTAAAAGTATTTTTTAATTAAATGTTTCCTATGGAAAAATGTTTATGAATAGTTGTTTAAATAATTGCAGGTATTTGAAATTAATTTCAGGTATTTTCGAAAAAGTGGGAGCATTCAAACATGAAATGACGCGAAATTTAATTATCTTTTATTTAAAAAAAAACGAAACTTCAAATCGGTTCATATTTGGGCTCTCAAAATTGATTTGTCCACAGCAACCCACTGTGCGGCGGTGTGTCCCCTCGTCACTAGTGTTTAACTTTTACATCTCGAAACGTTCTCAGCCACCAGAGAGTGTTTAATTGAGCTTCTATGTTAACCGTTGTTCTCCTCTTCTAGGGGTATCAGACAGCGTCTCTACGAACTCCCCTACGAGATTCAGACTTACACCAAGCAAACACTCAACTCGAAGTTGCCGTTGGCTCTATTTTAATTCTATTTATTGGGGTATGTATTCACAACGGTATCGTAAGTGCCGTATTGTTGTATGTCGTAAACGTTAAACGACTAAAAATATATTAAGGAGCTTTTCAAAGTACCATCAAAGTCATATTATGAATTTTCGCAGTGTTAAAAACTAGTTGGTTGTGGTTTTAAGTTCTCTAAACATCTATTTAATCTTTTAAAGTTTACGACATACAACAATACGACACTTTGACACCGTTGTGAATGCCTCATATGTGTTTTATATTTTAAAATATGACTTAAATTAAATAATATAGAGTTTTATGTTGGCTTTTTAATGGCTTCCTTTAAGGATATTTTCAATAGCTTAAATAGATATATTTTGCTATAAATACATGTATGGGATTTTCTTAGTCATGATTAGAATCTGGAGGGTTTCTGAAATTCGAATTACATTCGCGAATACTTAAACTAAATATTCGAGTTTGTAACATAGAGCCTGTAATTTAACTCAAAGTCGAAGTATTTTCTATTGCTTTTTCAATGTCTTAATCGAGATATTTACAAATCTATTCTGTCAATTATAATTAAATAATTTTCGTTTTCTTCGCACTCTTGTCACCTTATAAGCTGGTAACAAGATACTGCCCCTTGAAATATGCAATTCCCGAATCTTCAAAAAGCCAAGGAAATATATGTATGTATTGACAGCTTACCAATGCATCTAGAATTGGGGTTTTAAGAAACGATAACAATTGTTGGTAATAAAATTGTCGGGTAACAAAATTTTTGGCACCTTTTTACTTTTTTATTTTATTTAAACTGATCCTCCCCTCTTTTGTACCTACAATTTTTTAAATTTTAACTCTCATCGGCTTTCCTCGACTTATCCTATAGCGATACTTAGAAAATAGTAGCTAGCGAACGCTATAATTTAATTACCTGTTAATGGAAAACAAGCTTTTTTTCTATTCTTTACATATTATAGGTCAAAGGTCAGATAGTACATATGTGATTAGCCACATACGAGTACACCCCAAAGCGCTATACATATGTACATATGTACATCATATCGGGTTTTATTCACCTTGATACTTCGTAATGATTTGAAGATTGAGAAGCCATATTGTGTTAATTGGGAATACTTTTTACGCATTTGTAAGCATAATTTTTATACCCGAGCGCACTTGTGCACAAGGGTATATTAATTTTGTTCACATAACGGTTGTTTGTAACAGCCAAAACGAATCGAGATAGATATAGACAAATGTATACATAAATGATCAG